GATTTAATTAAAGTCTAAATTAATTGATTTGGGCTACATTGGATGAACCCAAATTTGTTAAACCCAATCTCATCTCATTCTAGAGCCCATCTTGGCGCCACGTGTGCAGATGATGTGGCATGCCAAGTCAATTAAGAAAACCAATAGAATCATGACATGTGTCAAAGATGACAAGCCCGCTCCATAAAGCCCAAATGCCATGTCACTTTAATCTGATTGGCTGAATGGAATCCTATTCTAATCGCAACTCCTCTATCCTAAAACTATAAATAGGGGTCCTCATAATTCAGAAAAGAGACAGAAAATTCTAAACAAGAAGCTAGAGAAACTCTGGTACAAACGCCATTTAATTCTCTACAAAGCTACAAGTTTAAGAATTCAAGCATTCAAGTTCAAGAACGATCAAGATCAAGACCACCGAATTCAAGAACAAGCTCGAAGCCCTTGAGTTCAAATAAAAGTCAAGATCAAGATAAAGTTCAAGTTCAAGTTCATCGTAGATTCAAGAACAAACTTTAAAGCCCTTGAATTTATATTTGAAAAGGCGAATTCAGAGGAATTATAGAGATTGTAACACTCACATTTGAAATAATAAAATTGATTGTTGCTATAATTTTCCACTCTTAATTATTGTTTTCTCGACGCGAATTTTATTGTCTACAAATTCTGGCACGCCCAGTGGGACAATCTCTACCTCTCATATCAACTTTTCAAACGTCAAAGAATATCAAGATGACTTCCATGAACAACAACTCTCGATCAACCGCCTCTAAGGTCACTAGCTCCAAGTTCTCTACTGAAGTTGAAGACATCCTTGGTGTTACCTTTGGAAGTTTTGTAGTTGTTACGAGAAGCAAGGCTGCTACACTAGGACAACAAACGCTTCAATGTCGTGTGCGTCAACTCCTATTTTTGGGTCTTCGACTCCAAAAGGAGCAAGTTCCTCCACAAATTCTCTAGAAGGAGGAAGTAGTGTTGCTGAAATGATCAAGAAGACATTGGCTCTACTTGAGCAATCTGGTTCCAAGAACTCTACCACAAGGGAGAACTGTGATTCAACTTGTGAATCATCTCCACGTATATTGCGTAATGTGAGTCCACTGAAAATTAACTTACGCGACAATCCATGTTACTCTCTTGCATCTCTGATGATCATGCAAACGATGGTGACTGCTGCTTCCTTTCCCGAGGAACAACTCGCAAATCTGACGAAGTTGGTTGAAGGTTTAACGAAGCATGTACAACACCAAGAATCTCGAATTGACAAGTTGATAGACAGATAGAAGGACTTTTAGATGGAGATGTGAGCCATGCACCTGGAAAGGGCATTGAAGTTCAAGAAATCGAAGATTCTGCTAAGAAAGCCCCGTTTGTTAAAGAGATGCCAGTTTCTTCTGAAGGAATGATCCCACTCGATCGCTTGAAGGAGTTTATTGAAGGAACTATCAAAGATAAGTATGAAGTCTCCACCAAGTCTTCTCATATGTATGCTAAGCCATACACTGCTAGGATTGATAACTTTAAAATGCCTGCTGGTTATCAACCTCCCAAATTTCAACAATTTGAAGGAAAAGGAAATCCGAAACAACATGTCGCGCACTTCGTGGAGACATGTAATAATGCTGGAACATATAGAGACTATCTTGTCAAACAGTTTGTCCGCTCTCTAAAAGGAAATGTCTTTGATTGGTACACGGATCTTGAACCTAACTCTATTGATAGTTGGGAGCAACTAGAACATGAGTTTCTCAATCGCTTCTATGCCACAAGGCGCACAGTGAGCATGGTAGAACTCACGAGTACTCGCCAAAGGAAGGATGAACCGGTCATAGATTTCATAAATCGATGGAGGAACGCGAGCCTAAATTGCAAGGACAGGCTTAGTGAAGCTTCTGCAATCGAAATGTGTATTCAAGGAATGCACTAGGAGCTTCTTTACATCTTGCAAGGAATAAAACCAAAATCTTTCGAGGATTTAGCTACTCGCGCTCATGATATGGAGTTGAGCATGACATCTGCCGGAAAAGATATGACTATTGTCCATGATCCTCGCAAAGGAAGGGACAAGCAGGAACCCAAAAGATGGAGCAAGTTTCTGCCCAGAAATGGCAATAAAGAATCCATGAGTGTAAATGTGTCACCCGCAAAGTTCACCACGAATGAGGGCGTAAAACAAAATGTGAGAACAACTTTCCAAGCACGTTCAAATCAAAAGTCGATGCTAAGGGAGATGCAAGGAAAAAAGTATCCCTTCTTGGATTCTGACGTTTCTGAAATTTTTGATGAATTGCTTGAGTTAAAGCTCATTGACTTGCAAGAGATGAAGCGACCCAATGAAGCTGGAAAAACTGATGACCCAAATTATTGCAAGTATCATAGACTTGTGAGTCATCCTCTTGAAAAATGTTTTGTCTTTAAGGATAGAGTGATGTGATTGGCTAACGAAAATAAAATTATCCTTGATGATGAGAAGGCTAGTTCTAACCATACCTCTATCACGTTTAGGTCACTGGATCCGGTCCAAATATATATATCTGAAAACCATAAAGAAGAGCCAGTAGACCAGGACGTTGACATAGATGGTGATGAGGGTTGGATTTTTGTAACTAGGCGAAGACGCAACAAGTCAAGCTTACGAAAAGAAATATCCGAGCAACCGGTTAGAGGAAAAATGGTGAAGAAATTAGAGAAGAAAAAATCAATCAAGCGCCCCAAAAGGGAAAAGGTTGAAGTGCATCACTACCAAAAACCTCGACGTCTTGTGACTCTAGAGGAATTCTTGCCAAGCTCGTTCGACACAAAGTCTACTCAAGGCAATGTCGAGGCATCATGTTTCAATGTGGATAAAGGAAAAACAATGAAGGTGCCTCCTACTGTAAAAAAAGGAACAACGAGTGAATCCTCACCAAAAGTGTCTCCTGGGGAAGAAGAAAAAAAACAAGGGAAATCTCATGATATCTCTTTCATCTTCTGAAAAATCTATTGAACTTTCTTTCCAAGAAGCACATGTCTGTGATACTAAAATCACATTTACAGATAACGATCTTCTATTTGGTGAAGCACTACACAATCGTCCTTTGTATATGGTGGGCCATGTGCTAGAGAAGAAAATAAATAGAATCTTAATAGATGAAGGATCTGGAGTCAACATTTTGCCTATCCACACATTGAAGGAACTTGGCATCACGACTGGGGAACTCAGTGAAAGTCGTCTGTTGATACAAGGATTTAATCAAGGCGGGCAGAGGTCCATAGGCTCTATTAAATTAGAGATCCACATGGGAGACTTGCGATCAAGCGCATGGATGCATGTGATTGACGCAAAGACATCATACAATATATTACTTGGTAGGCCTTGGGTACATGAGAATAGAATTGTCTCATCTTCTTACTATCAATGTTTGAAAAAAGGTGGAATTGAAAGAAAGATAGTTGCAGATGATAATCCTTTCACCGAAGTGGAGACACACTTTGCGGATGCGAAATTCGATATGAGAAGTTATGTTGTTAAAGGGGTCAAATCCAATGACGTCAAATCAATCAAGATTGATAATATCATAAGCAAAAGAATTGATGTAGCTATCGAAAAGGTGAAAATTGACACCAAAGACTCTTGTCCCATTCTTAATGAAGGGAAGATCCTGTCTTCAAAGAAAAAGCAGACTTCTAGGATTTGCTATGTTCTAAAAGCGAAGAAAGAACAAGATCAACCATCTAACCTTGAAGAAAATGCATTAAGAGGGCTAGCTCTTCCTATCAGACAGATTGATGCAATAAACTTGTCTTCAAAGTTGCCAGAGAATTCGGTCGCTCAAGATCAAGTGCTAGATATGGCTCTCCCTACAAAGCGCACAAGAGAAGGTTTTGATCCCAATGCCTACAAGTTATTTGTGAATATAGGATACAACCCTAGTGAGCCATCAGCGCTAGGGAAACTCCCATCAGAAGATACAACTAGGAAAGCGCGTGAAGGCCTAGGTTATAGCCAACCGCCGCCAATTCGCATTTCCATAAAAAGGGCCAGTAATAATCATATAACTTTTGAAGATGACGTCACTGCTCCCAATAAAAGTCCTTCTGTCTTTGATCAACTTGGTGAAGCAACAACAAGAATTTCTGTGTTTGAGAGGTTAGGTCCTCTGAAGACGAATAACAAGAACCTGAGAAGTTATTTGAAAGTTACAAAGCCTACTTCACATTTGATTCGAAAGGATTTCAGAAGTTTGATTTCTTCTAGGATGACGCGACGAGTGGAACTTATGGTTTCCTGTAAGGAGGAACTCAAGGCAAAGGTTCATACTGTGGTTTACACCAAAGAGCCCGAGGAAGATGAAGAAAGTGTAGGTTCCTTAAATCATGTTACAATCCAAAATGAGTATGATTCTTTGCCTCAAAAGAAGATTGAAGAAGAGATAGAAGATATTGTCTCGTGTTGTTATATATCAGTCAATGACAATGATCCTGTGGAAGAGGAAGATGCTAAAGATGCTCCACCAGAACTTGAAGAAGGAGTAAAGATCACAATACATCCTTTGAAGGAAGTTAACCTTGGCACTAATGAAGATCCGAAGCCAACTTACTTGAGTGTGTTTCTAGAAATTGATGAAGAAGTCGCTTACATGAATATACTCAAAGAGTATAGAGATGTATCCGCTTGGAGTTACAAAGAAATGCTTGGATTAAATCCTAGAGTAGCGGTCCACCAATTAGCAGTCAAAAATGGTTCTCGTCCAGTTAAAAAAGCTCAAAGACGTTTTAGACCAGACTTGATTCCGTTGATAGAAAATGAAGTTAACAAACTCATTGAGGCAGGCTTTATTCGTGAGGTCAAATATCCTACATGGATTTCAAGTATTGTTCCTGTGAGGAAGAAGAATGGTCAAATTCGAGTTTGCGTTGACTTTAGAGATCTCAATAATGCATGCCCTAAAGATGAGTTTCCTCTTCCCATTCCAGAGTTGATGATTGATGCCACCACTGGTTAGAAGGCAATATTGTTCATGGATGGTTCTTCTGGATATAATCAAATCCGCATGTCACCAAAAGATGAAGAACTCACTGCATTTCGCACGCCAAAAGGTATTTATTGTTACAAAGTGATGCCATTTGGTTTAAAGAATGATGGCGCCACATATCAAAGGGCTATGCAAAATATCTTTGACGACTTGATCCATAAAAATGTTGAATGTTATGTTGATGATTTGGTAGTAAAGTCGAGAAAGATGGGTGATCATTTGAAAGACTTAAGGATGGTGTTTGAGTTACTCAGAAGATATCAACTAAGGATGAATCCATTGAAATGTGCCTTCGGAGTTATTTCCGGCAAGTTCCTTGGCTTTATTGTGAGACATCGAGGAATTGAAATTGATCAAGCCAAAGTCGATGCAATATCAAAGATGCCTGAACCTCGAGATATTCATGAGTTAAAAAGTCTCCAAGGAAAGTTAGCCTACTTGAGAAGGTTCATTTCAAATCTAGCGGGGAGATGTCAACCATTCAGTCATCTTATGAAGAAAGGTGCTCCTTTTAATTGGGACCAAACATGTAGCGAAGCCTTTAAAAGTATCAAATCGTATCTAGCGAAACCTCCGATTTTGACAGCCCCTATACCTGAAAAACCATTGATACTCTACATTGCAGCACAAGAAAGGTCTGTAGGAGCCCTGTTAGCTCAAGAGAATAGTGAAGGCAAAGAAAATGCTCTTTATTACTTAAGTAGAACGATGACACCAAATGAGCTAAATTATTCGCCAATTAAAAAGTTATGCTTGGCACTTGGTCTTCTCAATTCAAAAGATGAAGCATTATTTTCAAGCTCATGTTGTCCACCTTATTTCTAGAGCAAATCCCATCAAGTTTGTTATGTCAAAACCTGTCCTTAGTGACCAACTAGCAAGATGGTACCTCCAATTCCAACAATTTGAGATTGTGTACATCCCTCAAAAATTCGTGAAGGGACAAGCACTAGCGGATTTCTTAGCAGACCATCCTATACCAAATGATTGGGAGTTAACTGATGAGTTTCCTGATGAAGATGCAATGTTAATTGAAGTTCAACCTCCTTGGAAAATGTACTTTGACGGGGCTGCACATCGCGGCGGAGCTGGTGCTGGTGTGGTGTTCATCACTTCACAAGAAGAGATTCTACCATTCTCTTTTACTCTAAAACAATGTTGCTCCAATAATGTCGCTGAATATCAAGCACTGATACTTGGACTTGAAATGGCCGTTGACATGAAACAATTACATTTAGAGGTCTTTGGTGACTCTCAATTGGTGATTAATCAACTCTTAGGAAGTTATGAGGTAAAAAAGCCTGAATTGCGACCTTATCATGATTATGCTCAAAAGTTGATAAGATGGCTTCGAGATGTAACCCTTCAACATGTGCGTCGAACAGAGAATAAGAAAGCTGATGCATTGGCTACTTTAGCTTCAACGCTAACCCTTCCTGATCAAACGCAAGTAACTGTCTGTCAAAAATGGATAGTACCACCGTCAAATGAGGAAGAATATATCGAAAATAAGCTTGATCATATCGTCGCCATTGTTGAAGCTGCGAAGGAAGATTGGAGACAACCCATCATTGACTACCTATGTTATGGGATACTTCCAGAAAATCCAAGAAGAAGAACTAATATACGTCGTCGTGCACCTCGTTTCCTTTACTACAAGGATACATCATATAGAAGATCATTTGAGGGTATGTTATTACGATGTTTGGGAGAGGAAGAAGCGATTCAAGCTCTGCAAGAAGCATACTTAGGAGTATGTGGATCACATCAATCTGGACCAAAACTTCATTTTCACATAAAGAGGATGGGGTATTACTGGCCAACCATGGTGAAAGATTGCTTATATTATGCTAGAAAATGTGATGCTTGTCAATTTCATGCGAATTTCATTCATCAGCCACCCGAAGTATTGCACCCAACCATCGCATCTTGGCCATTTGACGCTTGGGGACTGGATATTGTAGGACTATTACCAAAGTCTTCAAAGAGAATGTTGCAAATTTTATCCGAGTAAATATTATGTATCGCTTTGGCATCCCTCGATATATAATAACAGACAATGGCAAACCATTTGATAACAAGCTAATGAACAAGATTTGTGATCTTTTTGACTTTAAGCAGCATAAATCTTCTATGTACCATGCTGCTGCTAATGGTCTTGCTGAAGCATTCAATAAGACTCTATGCAACCTGCTCAAGAAAGTTGTCTCCAAATCCAAACGGGATTGGCATGAAAGAATGGAAGAAGCTTTGTGGGCATATAGGACAACATATCGCACACCAACTCAAGCAACACCATATTCACTTGCTTTAAGAGTTGAAGCAGTCCTGCCACTCGAGCATCAAATACCCTCCTTAAGACTTGCTATTCAATAAGGTCTCACTGAGAAAGAAAATGCTCGATTGCGTCTTGCTGAGTTAGAAACACTTGATGGAAAAGAGGTTAGAAGCCCAACAAAACCTTGAATGTTATCAAGCTCGTCTATCTCGTGCTTTTAATAAGAAGGTTCGCTTGAGGTGCTTTCAAGTTGGAGATCAACTTCACGCGGTAAGAAGACCAATCGTTACTTCGCACAAGTCTGGGGGCAAATTTACCTCAAAGTGGGATGGACCATATGTCGTACAAGAAGCATATTCAAATGGTGCTTACAAGCTTGTTGATGCTGATGGCTTAAGGATCAGTCCTATTAATGCCAAATTTCTAAAGAGACACTATCCTTGAAGGAAGATGATGCTCCTTAAGGTACGAGCCTAAACTGCATGTCACTCCTGGCCCGCAAGAGTATAAACTGTGTATGGCACAACTAAAAAAAAGAATAATCACTCAAATCCCCAGAACTACGTTGTGACTTGATCCTCTTTATTGAGGTACATAGGCGCTTAGAACCATATTCTAAGTTCAGTTGCATGAGTGTCAAAAAAAATGTTCGCACTTGATCTATTGCATGAAAGTCAAAGCGATATATATTTTATTTTTATCTTTTGTCTCATCAAACTTAAGACTTGCACGAAGTATTGATGGGTCTATGAAAGGGGCAAACCCTTACAAAATATGAATCTCTTATTAGTATGGTGGAAGTCTTTAAATTAGATCAAGTATGAAAATTGGAGTCTTTATATTCTTCGAGTTTATTATTTGAAGTATCCAAATTCTCTAAGTATACAGGTTGAAGTATTCAAATACTCTAAGTATGAAGGTAAGACTTCAAGTATATAAGTAGAAGTCTCCAAATGCGTATGTAATTGAATTCCATGCCTAAAGGTGCATGAGATTTGTCCCTTTGCACCTTAAGCTAGATTTGTTGCGGATTATCCCTCAATAGATCATTGAATTTCTATGTTTCAGGGTGGACAAACTTGTCCCGTTGCACGCTAAGTTGACTTTTTCACTGGTGTATATTTAAAAGGATCTTTAAATTTTTCATGCCTTAAGGTGGACAAACTTGTCCCTTTGCACCTTAAGTTGAGTTTTTCACTAGTGTATATTTAAAAGGATCTTTAAATTTTTTATGCCTTAAGGTGGACGATATTTGTCCGTTTGCACCTTAATCTAGCTTTGTTGCGAGCTTATCCTTCAACGAATCTTTAAATTTCTATACCTTAAGGTGGACAAACTTGTCCCTTTGCACCTTAAGATAGAGTTTCGACGGATTTATCTTTAAAAGGATCTTTAAATTTCCATGTCTTAAGGTGGACAATATTTGTCCTTTTGCACCTTAAACTGGTCTTTTCACGGGTTTATCCTGTCTCAAGTTGGTCAAACATTCAGGACCTTGTAACACCTTGAGGTTATCTTCAAGGCGGGAGCGTTACATGGTATCCTATTAAAACTTCAAGTTGGTTAAAGCATTCGGGACATTGTAACACCTTGAGGTTATCTTCAAGGCGGGAGCGTTACACGGTATTTTAGTACACGGTATTCTAGTAAAGCTTCATGGTCAAACATTCAGGACCTGTAACACCTTGAGGTTATCTTCAAGGCGGGAGTGTTACATGGTATCCTATTAAAGCTTCAAGTTGGTCAAGCGTTTGGGACCTTGTAACACCTTGAGGTTATCTTCAAGGCGGGAGCGTTACACGGTATTTTAGTAAAGCATGGTTAAGCATTCGGGACCTTGTAAAACCTTGAGGTTATCTTCGAGGCGGGAGCATTACACAGTATTTTAGTAAAGCTTCATGGTTAAGCATTCGGGACCTTGTAACACCTTGAGGTTATCTTCAAGGCGGGAGCGTTACATGGTATCCTATTAAAACTTCAAGTTGGTTAAGCATTCGGGACCTTGTAACACCTTGAGGTTATCTTCAAGGCGGGAGAGTTACACGGTATTTTAGTAAAGCTTCATGGTTAAACCTTCAGGACCTTGTAACACCTTGAGGTTATCTTCAAGGCGGGAGCGTTACATGGTATCCTATTAAAACTTCAAGTTGGTTAAGCATTCGGGACCTTGTAACACCTTGAGGTTATCTTTAAGGCGGGAGCGTTACACGGTATTTTAGTAAAGCTTCATGGTTAAGCATTCAGGACCTTGTAACACCTTGAGGTTATCTTCAAGGCGGGAGCGTTACACGGTATTCTAGTAAAAGCTTCAAGTTGGTTAAGCATTCGGGACAAACCTTGAGGTTATTTTCAAGGCGGGAGCATTACACGGTATTCTAGTAAAGCATCAAGTTGGTTAAGCATTCGGGGCCATGGAACACCTTGAGAGTTTTATTTATTTATTTTGTTAAGGCATGGACGTTAAGCACATTTTTATGTGATAAATCCTTCCATTATATAGCCTCCATAAAATATAAAATTCCTTTTGCTGATCTACAAAAAAAGAAAAGAAAAGGGAAATACAAGTGAAGGAGAGATTGTTACCCGTCAAGATGTTTGAGACTCGAAAGGTATTAAATCTTGAATCTTGGATGTGTTGTAGACCTTTATGTCTAGATTAGGAATCACCAAGTGGATTGTGATTTCGCTGTTCCAACGTCAAGACACGAGATTTTTAGTAAGTCACACAAATCTGAAAATTTTTAGCATGGCAGAATTTAGAGCTAACTTCAAAAAATCATCTAGAATGATTCTGAAGGTATTAAATTTTGAATTTTGGATATATTAGAGATCAAAAAGTCTAGTTTCTGAAAAATCAAACGGTTCATGATTTTGATTTTTCTACAATGAGATATGAATTTTCTACGATGAACATGTCAGGCTATAAAAAAAGTGACGAATTTTTAGCATGACAGAATCTAGACCTAACTTCAAAAAATCATCTAAAAAGATTCTGAAGGTATTAAATTTTGAATTACGGGTATGTTGGATATCTAAAAGTCTAGTTTCTGAAAAATCAAACGGTTCATGATTTCGATGTTTCTACAATGAGATATGAATTTTCTACGACAGACATGTCAAGCAGTAAAAAAAAGTGACGAAAATAAATAAAAAAGAAGGAAAATTACCTTGAGTATGCCCTTTTCGTCGTAGGCTCACAATCTGTAATTGAAGATAAAATTATGGAGACAGTGTATCTATTTATAGATGTCATGTGGTGGGATAGAATCCTTCTCCTAGTTCAATTACAATTTCTTTTTGGCTTGGACAATAAAACATAATATGAATATGAAATTGAGTAGGATTACAATTTCTAGTTCAATTACAATTTCTTTTTGGCTTGGGCAATAAAACATAATATGAATATGAAATTGAGTAGGATTACAATTCCTAGTTCAATTACAATTTCTTTTTGGCTTGGGCAATAAAACACAATATGAATATGAAATTGAGTAGGATTACAATTCCTAGTTCAATTACAATTTCTTTTTGGCTTGGGCAATAAAACATATATATGAATATGAAATTGAGTAGGATTACAATTGTTAATTCAATTATAATTCCATTTTTTAACTAAGGTGAATTTAGTAATCAGTTAATGCTTCAAGCCTAGTCTCTAAAAGATAAAATATCTCGACAAGACTTGAAGCAGGGGGCATTTGTAATCATTTAAAATTTATTAAATATAAATTTATAAAATGATTCGGATTATATTGAATTCATTAATATATTAATCCAAATAAATATTGTGGATTGATATAATTGAGTTAAATATTTAAGTTCAATAAATATGGATTTAATTAAAGTCTAAATTAATTGATTTGGGCTATATTGGATGAACCCAATTTGTTAAACCCAATCTCATCTCATTCTAGAGCCCATCTTGGCGCCACGTGTGCAGATGATGTGGCATGCCAAGTCAAATAAGAAAACCAATAGAATCATGACATGTGTCAAAGATGACAAGCCCGCTCCATAAAGCCCAAATGCCATGTCACTTTAATCTGATTGGCTGAATGGAATCCTATTCTAATCGCAACTCCTCTATTCTAAAACTATAAATAGGGGTCCTCATAATTCAGAAAAGAGACAGAAAATTCTAAACAAGAAGCTAGAGAAACTCTGGTACAAACGCCGTTTAATTCTCTACAAAGCTACAAGTTTAAGAATTCAAGCATTCAAGTCAAGAACGATCAAGATCAAGACCACCGAATTCAAGAACAAGCTCGAAGCCCTTGAGTTCAAATAAAAGTCAAGATCAAGATAAAGTTGAAGTTCAAGTTCATCATAGATTCAAGAACAAGCTTTAAAGCCCTTGAATTTATATTTGAAAAGGCGAATTCAGAGGAATTATAGAGATTGTAACACTCGCATTTGAAATAATAAAATTGATTGTTGCTACAATTTTCCGTTCTTAATTATTGTTTTCTCAACGCGAATTTTATTTTCTACAGTGAGTTCTAATTCTAATTGTTCATCCTTGAGTCGATAGCTCAAAATATGAGAATTCATTGACGACACTTGTAAAAAAGTAATATATTTTTTATTGATATCAGTGATAATATTGAAGATTTATGTGTGGCATCCGGAACTTCAAAATTTTGGATCATTTTACTTATGAATAGAAATTTGAAGCTAAGTTTGTGGAAATGTTTAGCAAAAGTATTAAAGTAAAATTTGATAGTGGGTTGTGGGAAGATTTTGATGGTGGAGAAGTGAATTTGATAATAACGATTACATTAATGGTGGTGTTTTAATGGTGTGTTTGATGGTGTATAGAGAAGAAGAAGCAATCGGGAGATAGAAATTTTATATTTTGGAAATTTAACAAATTATTGATGTGGCAGTGACATGATGATGACATGGCCCGAGTGTGAAACACTCTCTCATCATGCGATTGGTTATATGTGTGTTAGGGTTAAAATAAATTCACTTTTTAATAATTCAGGTGTATGATACGTCTCCAGAATATTTTTAGCATTTAACTACTTCTCTGTGAGTTGAGGAAAATTTATGCATTTTCTCTATTTACAATAATATTGTAGTTATTATGTATTTT